CGAGCAAGAGCGCGTGTACGAGTGGTTCGGGCTGGAGCTGGGCTCGGCGCAGCGCCTGGAGTTCCTCTGCGGGCTGCTGGACTTGTGCAATCCGCTGGAGCTGCGCTTCCTCGGCTCGTGCCTCGAGGACCTGGCGCGCAAGGACTACCACTACCTGCGCGACTCGGAGGCCAAGGCCAACGGGCTCTCGGACCCGGGCCCGCTGGCCGACTTCCGAGAGCCTGCCGTGCGCTCCCGCCTCATCGTCTACCTGGCGCTGCTGGGCTCTGAGAACCGCGAGGCCGCCGGCCGCTTGCACCGCCTGCTGCCCCAGGTGGACTCGGTGCTCCAGAGTCTGCACACCGCCCGGGCCGAGGGCGCGGAGGACGAGGACGGCGTGGACGCCGAACAGGATGGCTCCGGGCCGGAAGGCGGCGGCGCCGAGCCCCGGGCGGGCAGCGCACTGAGTCTCCGGGCCCAGGAGGAGTTGCTGCTGCTCTTCACCATGGCCTCGCTGCACCCGGCCTTCTCCTTCCACCAGCGGGTCACCCTGCGGGAGCACCTGGAGCGACTCCGCACGGCGCTGCACCCCGACCCCACGGACGCCGAGGAAGAGCCGGACCACTTTGCCGACCCTCGGACTCAGGTAAGCACGGACGCGTGGTTCGACCACCGCCCGGCGGTCTCGATGCCCTGCTCTGCGGCACCCTGCCCGCCACCCAGCCTCGCCGGGTGCAGGTGGCTGACAGGCCCCACCCCTCGGCACCCCCATACTACGAGGCTTGGTTCGGCTGTGCCATCAGCCCCCCACCTCCCTGCACAGACGCCCGCCATAACAGAATGCTCTAGAAGTCGCCTCCCTGCCGGAGTTACCACGAGGGGCATGGAGCTGTCACGCGGGATCGCCTCCCGGATGAAGGGTCTCGGAATGGTCGGGGCTCCAGGTGCTGGGGAATCGCCGCGCTGGAGGAGCCTGTCTGCCAGCCGCAGTGTGCCGAGGCAGCGCCACCCCACGCGGGCTGGCAGGAGCTGGTGCACGTTTCAAACCTCAGCCCTACCTCGCTGTGCGCCCTAAAGGTGCGCTCCCGGCGGGCTGCCAGCGTCTGGGGCTCGAAGGGACCGTGCTCTCTGTGTCTGAGATAAAAGGGGTCATCAGGGTCTTTCGGCCCAACTTAAACAACTTTCTCTTTCCAGAAGAAATCTGATGTGGAGATCTGTGAATTGACTCATGAGCAGGAACGCAGGTGGATCGGGTAAAACAGACAGTTCACAGAGGGCAGTTTGGCCATGCTCTTTCCAAACGGACTGGCATGACCGGTTTTTAACGGGACTGATTTCTGTTTACAGATTAGGACTAGGGGGATTTGTTGGGCCTTTACTATAGGCCTAAATGGTATTTTCTAAAAGTTAAACATCAGCGCTGGAGAAGAGGACCCAGATTAGATGAATTCATAAAGCCTGGAAGCTAGATATTTTAACAATCCAGGCCCCATAGGCTTTTTGAAGGTCAGTTTACCAGGGGAAGGGGTTGGGGTAGGTTTCAGTTAAGGTAAATTGTATGTACAATAATAAACTTATTTCCTTTGGAAAAGATTAAATTGGATGCCATGCTTTTCAATTGACGTGATCGTTAGGATGATACAGTGGAAAAGGCATCCACCCCACCCCCTCAACTTGCTTAAAAGTTAATTCAATTTATATAGCTGCTGTCATTCAACACCCTGGGACGAAAACTGGCTGTTGTATTTTCCTAATGACTGTTGGATTCGATACCCATGGAATCAAGGAATTTGGTTATTTAATCTAGGTTGGTGCTGTGGGTTAATGCACTAGACCGCAGAGTCAGTTTGAATCAAAAGGTCAGTGGTGCAAGCTCACCAGCTGCTCCTTGGAAACCCTAAACAGGGTCGCTGTGGGTCCGCACTTAACAACAATCTAGATTGAGTCCCTTCTTTTTAAAAGGCTTCCATGAAGGGACTAAACCACCTTTTGGGACTTAACATTTTATCCCATTCCGATGTCATCATGCTTGTGAGGGGCATTTAGAAAATTATCCTTTAATTTACTACTAGCTTGCAAAACAACAGCGCTGATGGTACTAAAGGCTATTTACTAAAATTATTCCAAAAAGCTGCGCGAATTCAGAAGTTTATATGCCATCAAACCCCAAAAACAACTAGTTAATTCTTAGCAACCCCATAGAACACAGTAGAACTGCCTTAGGTTTCTAAGGCTGTAATCTTTGCAGAAGCAGATTTCCACATCTTTTGTTGTGCAGAGCAGCTGGTGGGTTTGATCTGCCCACATTTAGGTTAGTAGCTGAGCACTTGTAACAACAGCTGCGCCACCAGGGCACGCTTCTGTTTTCCACAGTCATCACATTTATAGGAGGGAGACTGAAATGGTGAACAATGCTAAAAGATCTTGCTTTAAGACCTTTTTCCCAATGATGTGTATATTGTAAAGATGACCTGAAATCGCAGGTCTAATGGAAATGCCTCATTTTATTAGCCAGCAAGGTTATCGGAATTCTGATTTGAATGAACTGTCCGGAGCCTCTTTTCTTTGGGGGAAATATTGCTTGTGAAGCAAGTGTTGGAAGGCGACTAGACTAAGGTGGAAGATCCTTGCAAGCAGGTGTCAGTTTTTTATCTTGACTGCAGTGCATGCAAGGATGACTGGATGGCCAGTCCATCATGCGTTCGTTACAGGGGACGGTGAAAGGATCTTAGACCCTGGTGGTGTGTTTAACCAGTAGTATCCGGGTACCGTCGCAGCCCCAGCCATGGCGTGATTTAGTCTACGGATGTCTCCGCGTATCCGCTGGCTCCCAGACGGTCACTCCAAAGGCTACTAATGGGAATGGAGAAATTTCCTTGCGGATTCGCTGTAGGCCAGTCAGCTGGATGCGCCTCAGTGTCCACAAGAACGATCCCGAGCACTCGTGCCTTCCCTATGGGAGCGCCCAAACCGCCCGAGGCCCGCGGCCATGCGCTACCGCATGAAGCGGACCCCGCGACTAGGCAGGGGCTCCTCCCCTCCCCCGCCCTGTAAGATGGCGGCGGCCTGCCGGCCACGTGACAGCATCTGCCCCGCCCACCAGAGGGAGGCCCCGCCTCGGGCCGCCTCTCCGCCTCTGCTGCGGGAGGGGGGAGAGAGGAGGGGAGGTGGAGAGCTGGTTGAAGAAGCACGTGGGCCCTGCACTCCGGGAAGGCTGGTCCCTGACAATGACACAGTGAAAGGGGAAATTCGTGTGGCAGCGTTGTATTCCCCGGAAGTAACCCTTCAGACACATGCATACAACTTTTTAATTGCTTAAGAAATCTCGTTTTTCTTATACTGTGTAATCATTCTTCTTAGTGCTCCAAACTATGCCCGTTTTAATCCATAACTAAATTGATTGTTTTTCTTTAGCTTTTCTGTTACACTAAGTGTAACTTACCCAGAATAGCGTGCCTATCTCAAGACTTAAATCCAGTCCCGAAAAGGAAGCGGCTGCTCTTTAAAAAAATAATAAAATAAAACCCTAATGATGTCTCTTGGTGGAACATGTGCTTTGATGCCAATTTTATATTAATTATATGCTTTCAAGTTGACCAGACCCAGCAACTCTTTAGTAACATACCCTGGTTGTAATAATAGTTAAGGCTACAAGTCCACAAATATAACACGTCATATTAGGAAAACGGAGATTCAACATTTTTCTACTTTTAAAAGTAACACCCTTTTTATTTTTTTAAAAAATAACATCCACACGTTGTGTGTGTGTGTGTGTGATTTGGATGATTTTATAATAAATATGACTCAGAATACAACTTAAGTATCTCTATATTTAGGAGCCTTGTACATAAATCTTTTCCCTCAAACTGGGTCACTTGCAATAAGAGCCAAATGAAAATAATCATAATTTGGATAGATAGAAGAACTTCCAAAAGTTCATGAGAAAATGAAATTAAACTCTTTGAAGCCCCCTCACGTGTGTATATGTGTGGTTGTACGTGTGTGCACAGGGGTGTAATTTGTGTAACTAGACAATGTGCAGTTGATTCAGTTCTGTTACAGAGTTAAGAATCACGCATACAAAAGGGCTTCAGAAAGTGTGGGAAACAGAATTAAAAGGTAATGGATATTTCCCCACAAACTCTTTGAAGCCCTCCATATGTAATATAATTGAGAAGACTTGATTTTAGAGACACGTGCCTACTAGTACCATAGTGGTTACAAATTGGGCTGCAAACCTCAGGGTCAGCAGTTCGAAACTACCAGCAGTTCTGCGGGAGAAAGATGAGGCTTTCCGCTCCTGTAAAGATTTACAGCCTTGGAAGCTCTGTACAGGGTCACTATGAGTGTGCACCCACTCCGCAGCACATCACCACCACCACCCACCAGCAGCCTGTAAACAGTGTGCTGGCAGTTGTTAAGTGCTGTCGAGTCGATTCCGACCCATAGTGACCCTGTATAGGGTTTTCAAGGAGCCGCTGGTAAGCTTGAACCGCCAACCTTGCAGTTCAAGCAGCTTTGCAGTTTGGCGCATTAACCCACAGCGCCACACCAGTAGCAGTACAGATATGTGCATTGTTTTAAAAGATGCCAGCTTTGGTGCTGTGTCCAGGGGGAAAAAAAAAACGGTAGGCTTTCTACTTTTGCTGCGTTACTGTTTGTGAAAATGGCTGTTAACGTTTTGGACATGTGACCCCAAACTAACCACATAGATGATCATTGCTGGCATGGCTGTTTCTCTAGATCTTTAGTGCCCCTAAAAATTGAATGATTGGTTTGACAGAATGTTCATGTTTAAATGAAACATGTTTAAACTATAAACAATAAAATATATGGACATCTGTGTCTTAGTGCCATTTGAACTCACAGAATGTAATGTAAGCCCTAGCATCATTGGAACTCAAAAACACATGGAAGTCATCAGGGCTCTTAGAAAAATCATCACTCTGCATATGGTAATTAGCTATGTGGTACTTTTCCACCAAAAACCTAAGCTCATTCTATAATGCAGGTAATATATTGCTGTGGTGCTGCAGGATAAGCACTGGATTGCTAACCATGAGGTTAGCAGTTCAAATCCACCAACCACTCCTTAGAAACCTTACAGGAGGCTACTATGAATTGGAACTGACTCATTGGATCCTGGTGTGGCGCTGTGGGTTATTGCGCCAGACTGCAAAGCCCTTTGAACTGCAAGGTCGGTGAGGTCGGCGCTTCATACAGGGTCACTATGGGTCGGAATCCACTCATCAGCACTCAACAACAGCAATGGCACTTAACAACAATGTCTTGTTACTATTGGAGCCGGAAGAAGAAAACAAGTTTTCACATCGAAGGTCCTGCTTTCAAATAACTTGAAATGTGCGTGTGGCCACCCAAACCCCAGTGTATGTTTATTCAGCATGCTGATGAAGACCAAAAACTCACTTTCCTGTTCATTTTCTTTGCCTCTTGCGAGAGAAAGCAAAAACAAAACAAACTCACTGCCAGCAAGTCGATTCTAATGCAGAGCGACCCTATACAGGGTTTTTGAGACTGTAAATCTTTAGGGGAGCAGACAGTCTAATCGTTCTCCCCCAGAGCGGTTGGTGGGTTTATGCTGCCAACCTTGTGGTTAGTGGTCCAGCGGGAAAGGTTGTTGTTGTT